AATTAATTGCATTAGAGGCCTGTTAAATACATTTTGGAAAACAGGCAATAGCTGCCTCCAAAGTCCCTCTTCACTCACAGATTATGTGATTATTTAATTCTAAGTTTTATTGAACACAACACACTTATCAGTCCTGGAAAAAGATAAAAGTGAACAATGATTGGGGACTGGTTGTATGGTTAGCACTGTAATAGGTACCGGAAGGGGACATGGTTACAGAGACCAGACACCCCCAGGCTTCAAGAGGATGGCAACCGACTGGGAGATTTTCTTTTCCTCTTAATAAGAAGGTAATTGGGTCGGGTGCAGTGGCTCACGCCTGTAATACCGACACTTTGGGAGGCTGAGGAGGGTGGATCACCTGAGGTCAGGAGTTCGAGACCAGCCTGAATAATGTGATGAAACCCCCTATCTTCTAAAAATACAGAAACTAGCCAAGCGTGATGGCAGGCACCTGTAATCCCAGCTACTCAGGAGGCTGAGGCAGGAGAATCGCTTGAACTCGGGAGGTGGAGGTTCCAGTGAGTTGGGATCACACCACCGCACTCCAGCCTGGGTGACAGAGTGAGAAGCCATAAAAAATACACATGTGATGGTGTTTAATCATATAGGAAACTCCATTGGAAAAGCAGATTCCACAAAGAAAAGAATTTCCTGGCTTTGGTGTATGTCGCAGGAAAAAAAGAAAGTAATTGGAACCAAGTTTCCACCTGCTTCTAGGACTCCACCTTCTGCGCCTCCACCACACTTCTGTTTCATGTATCACCAGGAGCACACCCGAGTTTGGTCCAAGGAGAGGCCCAGGCCTCAGTCTCAGCCCCCAACAGTTGGAGTTTGCAGTGGGCAGAAGAACGGCACCAGGCTGAGCTCCGTCAGCAGGAAGCAGCATCATGCATTCAAAGTAACAAAACCAGCTTGCGGTGGGGCTGAACATCTGACTGGATCAGCAGAGCTAGCCAATTTTCCCACCTCTGTTCCTCAGCTGGGCTTGCTGGCCTTTGGCTGGATCCCAGACTCCAGAAGACTGCCTGTGAGCTCACCTTCTGCTGACAACTGTGCTAAATCCTAGATGACTCTGACAATCTGGTCACAGCCATAAATTCCTATCACCTATAATCTCCAGGCCCAGATCTCTATCGTTCCTTCCTGTTCATTTCTTTGCCTACTGGTTATCAAGGAGCTGACACTCAATATTAGAGCCATGCAAATGGCAGGCATTCAGGTGTGAAGTCCAAACAGAAAGGGGCGTTAGAGATGTCAGGACCAATGGAATTCCTAACGCGCGTCAGTCTCACGCTCCTTGCAACTGGATTATAATCAGAGGATTTTGATAAAAACAGAACTGAAGATGAGAATGAGATATAATTTTAAACATTTTGCTTATTGACAAAGTCCCCAACTGTGCCACCTGCCAATATGTACATCCAACCTTACTAATGATCAAAGGAACTAAAGTCCAAATAATCAGGGTTGACATCCAGAAATCCTCATACCTTAACCGTGGGACTGTTAATTGGTTCAAGTAACAGAAAAGGTAAACTAAGGTGGCCAGTGCTTTAGATCAAGTCCAGTGGGCCCTGAACGGCAGATACTAAAATTAGTAACTAGTTAAGATTTATTGAGTGCCTACTATCTGCCAGGCACTCTTCCATGTATTAATCAGTATTATTTTATTTAATCGTCACATCATTTGTATGAGGAAAGCACTCCTGTCATCTCATGTTGTGGAGGAAGAAGCTGAAATACACAGATGCTCTAATAACTTATAAGTCAGAAAGGTAGGGAGTCAGGCAACTGGAATTTAACGCTGAGCAGTGTGACTCCCTAGCTCAAGTTCATAAATACGAATCTGTGTGTGTGTGTGAAGCATCACATTTTGACATTCATTTTCTCAAATTCTAAATGAATTACTCATTGTAATAAGTGACTTAAAGTGGCCAGTCATTTCACACGGGCTATACTGCTGCCGCCTTCCCCAGGCCCTGCTCTCGCCCTGTCCGTCACCTCGTCTGTGATAGCTGCTAACTTCCTAAGTGGGGCAAGATCTCCGGTCTTCAGCTGCCATAGGCATCAGTGGAAACCCCTAGAACTCCAGCCAGAACACAGGAAATCATAAGGCTGCACTTCTGTGCACCAACCACGTAGCAATACTACCTCGAGAACTAGGGCAGACTTGGGTTCCATCTGCACTCTTCCATTGATTCCTGGGTAACTTTGGCCAAATGGCTTCAACTTTCTAAGCTTCATATTCCTCATCTGACAAACAAAGCTCTTCAGATCAGCTATTGTTTGATAATACCGGGAAACAAACATCTCTTAAATTTCCGTGGCTAAAATCACATTCATTTAAATCTCATTCATGGGTGGTCTACTGCTTACCAGTTACTGCTTGGCTGGCTGGGCTCCAGAGTGACACTTGGGCTTAGGGGTATCTCATACGTCTCTTCACTCTGAGCCCAGGGACAAGCCAGGCATGCTCATTTCATGGCTAAGGGCAGAAGGGAAACAGGACTGGCGGGAACTCCACACACACGTTTAAAGCCTCTGGCATGTCCCTGTTCATTTCACAGTGGCTAAACAAGGCCTATGGTTAGGGTCCAAGGCAGGACAGTGACACTGTGAACTGCTCGCAGTGAACCAAAACTTGGAAAGGGAGGGAATGAGGAATTCTGAAGAAATATTACCAACCAACACAGAAAAGTGGACTCATATCATTTTAGTAGTTTTACCTACACAAAAAAAAAAAAAAAAAAAAAAAAAGCAAAAAGAGGCATGGCCATGTTAACCAAAAATTCCAGCTTTGTTTTTGAAACCCTCTGCCTGTAGGAGAGTGCAGAAGTGTTTTATGCCGTATGTGGTGGGGACAGTGTCTTGCTTTGTATCAGAACAATTTGTAATAGGTTCATTCTTTGATGCAGTCATTTTTAGGAGCTGGAGTGTATTTTAAAGAAATAATCAGAAGCATAAAAGTATTCATGTGTACAGATGCCCATCGAGGCAATTTTTTATAATAGCAAAAAATAAGAACACTATGTCCATAAAGAGAATGTTTAAAATCCATACAAGGGATGATTACGGAGTTAATTTTTAAATGCTATTTTTCTAAGAATATCTATGGAGACAGAAAAATGCACCTAATACAGTGCTAAATACGTAAATTAGAATGGAAAACTAGAAAATAGAATGTCACTTTTGTAAAGCGTGTGGCTCTGTATCTCTGAGAAATGATTGGATGAAGATTTAAAAATGCTAACACTGGCTAGCTGGAGATTATGGACAGACGACGCAGACTGACTATTTAATTTTTCCTATTTTTTTCTATACTTCCCAAATTTTTCACAGAAAAAGAAAAGTAGAAAGAATGCTTTTAGGCCGGGCGCGGTGGCTCACGCCGGTAATCCCAGCATTTGGGAGGCCAAGGCGGGCGGATCACCTGAAGTCAGCAGTGTGAGACAAGCCTGGCCAACATGGTGAACCCTCGTCTCTACTAAAATACAAAAATAAAACGGAAGAATGTTTTTAAACTGCTACGCTGGTCCATGGGATGTTTCAACTGTGGAGGTTCCCAACCAAACCCAGCTAAGAGTTTGGACCACACGCCCTAGAACTGAGAATTCCCAGGAAACATGAGCGCTGCTGCAGCTCACCGCCGTCTAAATCTCATGATAAACAGTCGATACAAAAGGCATGCGTGCCCACCACTGAATCCACGGTTCTATCAGGAAGACACCACGGCCTATTAGCAATACTGATGGCCTAAAGGCTGTTCAGTGCTGAACAAACAGGATGAGATTTCATTTCATTTGATTATTTTCTAGACCTTGAACACTGCGTGTGGGCAGGAATCTACTTACCTTGTTTGTGAAGGGCTTTGGGAAACGGAGTGGAGGCATCTAATGATAGAGAACTAGGGTTCCCATCTGGGTGCTCATTAATTAGGCAAAGTGATGCTTTTGGGGCCTGCATGACTTAGAAGCAGGCGTTTGACATATGACATCGAGAGGACAGTCAGCACTCAACAGCCGCTAGATGCCAGGTTCAATGAATTCCCTCAGAAAGGTCAGGAAGCCAGGCACAGTTCCTAGAGCCTCAGATCCTATCTGAGCTCTTTCTAGGGGGAAAGGTGCCCCTCCTCTGCTCTCCAGTAGCCACTTGGCCAATGCTTTCAGCCCCCAGAATTTGACCCACTGATAGGCACTTCCAGGTAAACATCAGGCAGGTGCTTTCTGGGCAAGATTTCCACAAACATTTCCCTGCTGTTAACTTGCTTGCAACAGATATTGGGTGATTTGTCCCAGCGCCAGACCTATCAGGACAATCTTTCTTTACAATCTCAAACTGATCTGAACGAAGAGGGATCTGTTCAGGTCCCTCTTTCTGGATGGAGACTTCGTGTACTAGGTTTCTTCTACCAGGAGCACATTTTTACTTTCAAGTTAAAAACCCTGAAAAATGGGTTTCATAATGGGAAGGCTGACAGAGTCTCAGCCATTGAGACTCAAGCCATCACCAGCCTTACTCTGCCAAAGATATTTATTATGATTTCCTCAAATAGCCACGCTTTAATACCTGTCATGTGGTTTCCTTACAAGGACGAGGGCTGTGTAGTCTTGATTGCAAGCTGTCTTGGCTGTTGTGATGACTTGTTCCAGTGAGGCGGGTGCTTGGAGGCAGAGCCTCGCAACTGGGATTCCGCGCTGAGCTCCCCGGTGGAGGGAAGCAGGCATGGTCACTGCTTTAAGCCCCCATTGCGATGCAGAGTGTGGAACTGTGCACTCTGGACATGGGGAGTGGGAACCCAGGGCTTCTGCTGCTCCTTCTGGGCATCACCAGACATGCCCGGGCTGATGGGAAAACCAGGGGCACCTCCAGGCTGCTTGCTTCAGAGTCCCCGTCCCCAGGCCTGGAGGCCTGGCCACTCACATGCCCTCTGCTCTCTGACAATGCCCACAAATGCTCCATCTAGCAGAACTTCCCAGCGTGGTCAACTCCAAGGCTGAAAGCCGGAATCCCCATGGTATCTCCACACGCTTTTTTGCACATTTGCTGCCTGGCGCTGTTCTCAGCTGTTGACACGGATAAAGCTGCCGGGCTGGCTCCTGAAATGTGGCTGGAGATGTTTTCCTCCTGCGAGAGGCATCGACAGAGGCCGCCTGGAACAACCTTTGAAAGCTCATTGCTGAAAAGGTATTAACTCAAATCCTTTCCAAGTCTTCTCTGCCAACACCCAGCACAGAGGACCACTTCTCTTCCTACACGTGCCCTGACATCATTACACCCAGTCCTCTCCACCCTGCCTCACCCCAAATGCCCCCCAAGAGGTGAATCTTTCAAAAGCCGAGGGTTTCACAGAAAGCCTAGAGAGCCGGGGTGGCTGCTGCTGCCTTTCCTTCTGCACAGCCCGATACCGCCCTCTTCCGCGCTCCCTGCTCCTGCTCACAGGACACCTGCATTCCACGTCCTGTGTCCTCCATCCTCCAGGGACTCGGGCTTTGAATGCTGCCTTCTGTGGCTCCCTTCCTTTGTGCAAGGCCAGCGTTCCATCCAGAGCTAGACTGGACCCCAGCCTGCAAGCAGACATGGAAATCCCTCCTGCGGAGCCAGACGCCAGACACGCGGGAGCTCAGGCCTTGTCAACAGGACTTTATCTTAGAAAACACTAAGACGTATTACAGATATTAAGCAGTTATTGAAGAGGGACCCCTGTGTGCTCTGCTGGAAAAACTCATGGGGAACATCAGTGATTTGTGAGGCTTTCTGTTTGCCATGTGGGTGGGTTTGGGTGAGTCCCCTGAGATTCCAGTGGCAGTGATTGGACATCCCAGAAACAGGTGGCCTGCCTCTGCCTAACTCTTATCCAGAGAGTCCCTTTGAAAGACAAGATGTGGCACACAACAGCCACACACATCAGTGTCCCTGAGCCAGGACCAGGAAAGAGAGCCCTTATGAGTCCATCAGAGTTTCCTGAAAGCCTGTGAAGGCACCAACAGGCCCCTGATCGAATCTTCCCTTGGCTCCCAGCTAGCACGGGGCAGAGTGTTCTTGCAATGGAGGAGTCTCTGAGTGATGCCGCAGGGCGCAGACAGCATGAGGCAGGAGGTATCTACGATGCCCCAGCTCCCTGACCCCAGGGCAGAGGCATGGCCCTGTAGACTCTGTGGGTGGCAGGAACCCAGGGCTTCTGCTGCTCCTCCTGGACATTCCCTAGACACTGACCAGGGCTGATGGGAAAACCAGGAGCACCTCCGGGCTGCTCGCCTTGGAGTCCCCATCGCCGGGCCTAGAGGCCTGGCCACTCAGGTGAGCTGAGCCTCTTCCCACCAGATTCCTGAGCAGCTGCTGCACCTCTGACTTTTCCACCCATTGCACCCAGAGCTGGAGCCCAGCCTAATTCTCAATCAGCCATATTCGTCTCTGATCTCTGAGCCCCACTTCCAACCCACGTCTCTAACTCCTGCAGTATATCCCAGGCAGAATCTGATGCCCGGTAGGGCTGAGTGTGAACTCCAGCAGGGCCCTACATGCTGACCCCAAGATGATGGCAGTGCCTGAACACCTGGCATGGAGACAGCAGACACCAGGCCACATGCCCCTAAGGCTGCAGGTCCCGCACCCACAGGAGGATGTCACCACAATCCTTGTGCCCGCCCCCTCCCATTTCTCCATGCAGCTTTTACCTGATTCAGGTCACCGATACAAAACACACAGGCGTTCATCAGTCAGTGGGTGTGAGGGAGCTGGGGGTCCTATGTGAGCCGGGACTCTGTCCAGGGTCCTGAGGTAGCTGGGGGTCCTGTGTGAACTGGGACTCTGTTCCTAGCAGGCAAAAGCTCACAGCTGGCCAAAGAGAAAATTGAGTTTCAATTTTTAATTCATAGGTAAAATCTATTAGAGCAACACAATTTATTTTCAGAAGTTGTATAATTTCTGTGTGCAATGCAGTCATTGACTTGCTGTCTCCCCACCTTGACAAGTGTGAGCCTTTGAGTCAGTTTTAAACACAAAATTCACTGCATTTAACATTGTATTCTAGTGGCCTTTCCTCCCAGGCACTTTAGGTAGTAGATCGCAAAGCTCTTCTGAAGCAATTTTCCACCCTCTTCACAGAAAAGGTGCCTACTAGTTTTTTTTAATGAGCAGGGAGCACTGTCACAGGAGTCAGATCACCACTTGTAGCCTGATAACCTCAGCATCTCAGAGCCTCAGTTTTCCCATCAGTAAAATGGTGTTGTTCCCAGGAATTAGTATTATAGAAACTACTGTTTAAATTACATTAAGTAGCTCACGCCTGTAATCCCAGCACTTTCGGAGGCCAAGGTGGGTGGATCACCTGAGGCCAGGAGTTGGAGACCAGTCCGGCTAACATGGCAAAACCTCGTTGCTACTAAAATACAATAAATTTGCTGGGTCCGGGAGCAGTGGTTCATACCTGTAATCTCAGCACTTTGGGAGGCTGAGGTGGGTAGATCACGAGGTCAGGAGTTCAAGATCAGCCTGGTCAAGATGGTGAAACCCCATCTCTACTAAAAATACAAAAATTAGCTGGGCATGGTGGTGGGTGCCTGTAATCCCAGCTATTCGGGAGGCTGAGGCAGAGAATTGCTTGAACCTTGGAGGCGGAGGCTGCAGTGAGCCGAGATCGCACCAATGCCCTCCAGCCTGGATGACAGAGCAAGATTCCATCTCAAAAACAAAAAGCTAGCTGGGTATGGTGGTGAGCAACTATAATCCCAGCTACTTGAGAGGCTGAGCACAATAATCACTTGAACCCAGGAAGCAGAGGTTGCAGTGAGCTGAGATTGCGCCATTGCACTCCAGCCTGGGTGACAGAGTGAGACTCTGTCTCAAAAATAAATAAATAAGTAAATCATATAGAGTGAACTTTGAAGGTGACCAGTTACAGCAGAATTCCCCTTAACCGTACACCCTACGTCCACCTCTAGATATTCAGATGTTAACTTATGTTCCAGTGAATACCTGACATGTGTATTTAAATTTTTGATATTTTAATATTCAAATATTTGCACGAGCCAAAAGGAAATGTTGATGAGTGTAGCTATTAGACCAAGACCACAGAGAGTGGTGTGGAGTGGGTAGAATTAGACCAGCTTGCCCAGTCTAAATACACTGAAATCCATCTTCCTTTTCTGATGCTATGAAAGAAAAACCGCATCTCAGGACCTGAAACTCGCTCTGCCAAAGGGAGGGTTAAGCCTGGAACCCAGTCATGCAAAAGCTGCCTTCCTTTTGTTCCCAGAGAGCTTACTGCACATGCTTGCTTATGTAAAATGTAGATTTACTGGGCATCAGTCAAATGTATCATTGACCGCCCCTCCCCCCACCCCTGTCGCCTGCCTTTTCCCACTTGAAATGTACCTTCACTGAGCAGGGATCCGTGCTTTTCATGAAGATAATGCCGGTCTCGTTACCTACCCTCCCTCCTTTTTTTCACTTTTTCTTCCCCTCCCACTTGATCTCTCCTCTTTAAATATCGAAACTTCTGGAACCCTCTTTGAAAAAAACACAGGCCGCAGGTTCTACTGGGACTTGTGTTCCTCCTTCCTGCGCGCACCCTAAGTCTGGCCAGACAAACCTCGATCCACTGAGACACACTACTTTGGGGCCGCTTTGGGTTTGCAATGCCGTGGGACTGGATTCCAAAGGGGCCTCTGCTTTGTGACTGTGCCTGAACAATGACTGTAGGGTGTCCCCGCTACTGCCTAAATCTTCCTTACTTTTAGGGTTGTTTATTTTTGTCTTAGACCCTGAAAACGCCCTATTACCATTGGCAGGTGGAAGTTAGATACCTGGGATCGTTAAAGGTGAGAAGCTTAATTTCGATCCAGGAAGTCTGAGGAAGTAGAAAAACATCCAGACATGCCATGTAGCCCAGATGTCAGAAATACTCTTGAATCCAGAACTAAAGTACATCAAAGATTTTCTTCCTGTTGACCTTTCCAAAAAAAAAAAAAAAAAAGGCTTTTTGGGATGCAGGCAAATCTTTGGAGGTGAGCTGGAGAAGCCCTCATGGTGTCTTGTCTTTTTGAAGATAATCACATTTTCCAATGAACGTGACCTTGCTTTGCTGTTTTCTTTCCCACTAACCATTGAACTCACAGGAAACACACCCACAGCGGGGGAGAGCCCCAGGTCAATGTTGCAGACGCCTTGTAGGCACTACCCATGGATAAGGTGGCCTCTCACTCGCCCCGATCCCCTCTTCTTCCATTTCTACAAGAGCAGTGGCAAAGGTCATGTTCTTATATGGTTTTTTAAAATCCACCTTCCCTTGGGATCAATGCTGAAGTGTGTTACCAAATCGTGTTGCTTTTTCAACAATGCCCCGTTCCACGTCACTCTCTGGGCCTTTGCCCAGCCTCCTCCTGGTTGCTGTGGTTCAAGAGGGATGTGGATGTGCCCGCAGAAACAAATGGCAGTGGCGAAGGTCTCAGGGTTCAGGCATCATCACCAGGAGCCCGCTATCTGCCTCCCCGCGTGACAGCCACATTCTCCCAGGATGGCTCCGGCCAGAACAGGAGGCTATGTATTGACAGCACAGAGACTGTGTTCTTCACCATCAACTCCATTCAAAACACGATTGTCCTGAATGGCTCAAGTGCTCGCTGTGGATCAACCCCTGTGTCCAGGAGTAGGTGGAAAGAAAGCCTAAAAGGCAGGGTCCTATGCATAACGGGAAGGTCTCCTAGAGGCGCTGTTGCAAGGAGCATTTCCCAAGGGGTGGACAAAGAATTAATGTCTGCTTGGCTGGCCTCCAGCCATGCTCCTCTGCACCAGTCCTACAGAGGTCAAATCTGTGGGGGTGGGGAAGGTCGAAATGGATCAGTTTTTCTCCAGCAGAAACCCGGAGCACTGCCTACACAATGCCATCTATTACTCAGGGCACAAATGGCAGGTGTGTAACAAGAGCACTGCCCACACGACACCTATGTATACTCAGGGCATGAGCGGCGGATGTGTAAGAGGTGGGTTGCAATGTCTCAGAAGAGACTGGACAGCAAAAGCGGCTAAACCTCTGATGGGGCTCTGGGCAGGCGGCACGTCCTCTATGAGAGGTCACATTGTTACATAGGGGAAAGGAGCCCAGGACTGATGGAGCGCATGTGCAAAAACCACAGGGCCAGCTCACAGGAGAGCTGAGATTGAGCTACTAGGTTAGAGGGTGCTTGATATGGTTTGGATATCTGTCCTTTCCAAATCTCATATGGAAATTTGATCCCAATGTTGGAGGTGGGGCCTGGTGGGAGGGGCTTGGGTCATGGGGACGGATCCCTCACGAATGGCTTGTGCCCCCCCTGCAGCAATGAGTTCATGTAAGAGCTGGTTGTGCAAAAGAGCCTGGCGCAAGGTTGTCTGGGAAAGGGAATCCCTGCACACTGTCGGCAGGATCGTAAACGAACCCAGCCATGGTGGAAAGCAATGTGGCAATTCCTCAAAGAACTTAAACCATTTGACCCAGAAATCCCATTACTGAGCATAATCCCAAAGGAAAATAAATCATTCTACCATAAAGACACACACACACATATGTTCACTGCAGCACTGTTCACAATGGCGAAGACACGGAATCAATCCAAGTACTCATCAACAGTAAACTGAATAAAGAAAATGTGGTACAGATGCACCATGGAATATTATGCAGCCTTGAAAAATGAGATCATGTATTGGCAGAAACATGGATGGAGCTGGAGGCCATTATCTGATGTGAATTAATGCAGAAACAGAAAACCAAATTCCACAAGTTCTTCTTTATAAATGGGAGCTAATGGATGCGAACCAATGGGCACAAAGAGGGGAACAACAGACACTGGGGCCTACTTGAGGGTGGAAAGTGGGAGGAGGGAGAGGACCAGGAAAAATCTCTATAGGGTCCTGTGCTCATTATCGGAATGATGAAATCATCTGTACAGCAAACCCCTATGACACACAGTTTACCTCTACAACTAACTTGCATGTGCTCCTGAGCCTAAAATAAAAGTCAAAAATAATCACACAAAAAAGAAAATAAATAATAAAATCAAAGAGCCTGCCACCTCTCTTGCTCCCTGTCTCGCCATGTGCGATGCCAGCCTCCCTTCCCTTCTGCCATGAGTAAAAGCTTCCTGAGGCCTCCCCCGAAGAGATGAGGGCACCACGCTTCCTGTACAGCCTGCAGGGCCATAAACCAAATACACATTTTTATATATATACATATAAATTGTCTCAGATATTTCTTTACGGCAAGACAAAACAGACTCATGAGGGGAGAGTGAATAAATGAGCTGATTAGTGGGGTTGGAGAAAGGATTGCTTCAGGCAGTGATTGGCAAATAGGATGCTATCATTATAGAAAATGCGTGCACATATACACGCACACACACACACACTCTCACACACACACGCCCCTCAGGTAGCATGCAAGCAGGCGTCACCTTGGCTTGACAGTAGATCTCAGGAGCACAGAAGCTGCCTTCACCCTGAGGAGCACAGCCTCTCACCTCCACCGTTTTCCATTGCAATTCCCTGCCTTCCAGCAAGTGTCCGATGCCTGCTTAACATTACGAGAGGCGGGCTGTCAGTGTGAGAGGCTCCAGCCTGCCGCAGGGGCTGCCTCTTGGGAAACAGAAAACAAAGCCAGAGCCTTAAAAATAGAGCTGTCCGCTGATGGAATTCTCTCCTGCTGCCGTGACCAAATATTTAGTCACAGGGGAAACGTTTGATCAGACACACTCCCAGCAAGGTCAGGAAGAGCTCGGAGAACACGCACTGAGGCAGGCTGCCGCCACTGGCTCCCCTCACCCCTGGACCCTCTCAGGCCCCACGGGAGAGTGAGGGAGGGCCGCTCCGGTGCCAATCTGCAACCACAAAGCATGCCTTTGCTCTTATGATGCTGGATACCAGCCTAGCCCTGAAGTCAGCTGCTTGCACAGACAACATTCATTCATTCAGACACAAATGAGATCAGTTCTTATCCGAATCACAGGTCAATAGGATTTGGGAAGCTGTGGCGTCCTAGAGATTACATTGTTTTAAAGACTGCAGAGTTACATACAGGGAGGTTCCAAACAGAGGGAGGTTTCTGTTGTCACACAGATGTCCGCCCCTCCCGACACCGCACCAAGGCACCTGCCTGCTCCAATTCTCCTGGTGTGTTGCCTCACACTGTCCACTGCCCAGGCAGCTTGTCTGGTTCTCTTGCAAGAGCGGGGCCTGGAGCCTGGTGTCCTTAGCTGCTGCAGGGCCTGGCACACAGTCGGGGTTCCATGAAACCCCAGAGGGAAGAGATGGAGAGCAAAGGAGGCCATGTGTCCCAAAGGGGGACCCTGGGAGAGTGGTCCTTTCCTGTCTGCCGCTGGTGCCTGGAAAAGAGAGAGCAGAAGACCCCAGCCCCAGATGGTGCATTGCTGTGAGCCCAGGGCCTGTCCCTCCAGGAAGACAATATGGCCACCATTGGCCGGCAGGCGCTGCCTTAGTTGGGTCCCCTTCTGGCTCTCTGTCTTATTCTCTGGAAGCCCCCACGGACCCTACCTCACACTATTCTGTGTGCATCATTCCCTGTGGGTATTTGCTTTCCGAGGGGAAGAACAGCAGGGGAAGAACAGCAGGATGCCACCCCCATGTGTTGAACTGAACTGATTCGTCACTTTGTAAAATGCTTGCTTTAGGCAGGCACGGTGTTGTGCCTGTGGTCCCAGCCACTCGGGAGGCTGAGGCAGGAGGATCACTTGAGCCCAGGAAATGGAGGCTGTGGTGAGTCATTATTGCACCATTGCACTCCAGCCTGGGCCACATAGTGGGACCTTGTCTCAAAAAAAAAAAAAAAATGTAAAATGCTAATGCACTGATATGGTAGGTGGCCCCAAAATTCATTTTCTTTTTTTTTGAGAAGTCTCACTCTGTTACCCAGGCTGGAGTGCAGTGGTGTAACCTTGACGCATGTAACCTCTGCCTCCTGGGTTCAAGCAATTCTTCTGCCTCAGCCTCCTGAGTAGCTGGGATTACAGGTGCTCGCCACCATATCCTGCTAATTTTTGTATTTTTAGTAGAGATGGGATTTCACCATGTAGGTCCGGCTGGTCTTGAACTCCTGACCTCAGGTGATCCGCCTGCCTCGGCCTCCCAAAGTGCTGAGATTACAGGCATGAGCCACCACACATGGCCCCAAATTCTGTTTTAAACACAAGCTAGAGTCAATGTCCACACTGGAAGTCATTTTCAAGGGGGAGATCAGAAAGCTGCTGGGGAAGTGGCTACTTGGAAGCAAAGCGACTGACATTTCAGAGCAATTAATGACTGTGTTTCCCCAGAGACCAGCTGCGCGTAGGAGGAGCCGAAGTTGCTCCTCTCATTGTTCCTCCTGTGCTTGGGCACCGTGCTGGAACCATCTGGGCAGCTTCTCAACTCAGCATGTCTTGCCGATCTATTAAGTTGAACATTAATCATTAGCAAAGCTCATCTTCCTTCCCTGAATTTAATTTCATTAGTTATACTTTCCTTCCCTGTTAGAACAGTCTCTGATGCATTTGCTTAGAAGGCAAATGGGCATTGGCCCTGTCCCCCACCTCTCCCGGATGGAGACTTTTCTGTAACAGCACAGACAACTGTCAACAAGTCAGGTCAGGCTGCTTGACCTGGATGCAATCGGAACACAGGACTTTTCTTCTGGACTCTCAGGAACTCTCTCTAAGAAAATCAGGGCCACTGTGGTTTTGTTACTGGAAAGGGGTTTCAATCCAGACTCCAAGAGAGGGTTCTTAGATCTTGCACAAGGAAAAACTGGGGGCAAGTCCAGAGAGTAACACAAAAGCCAGTTTATTAAGAGAGTATGGGAACAAAGTAAGGGCTACTTCATAGACAGCGCAGGGCGCTCCCAAAGGCAAGAGGAAGAACGCATCCATCTTAGCTGAAAAGCTTGTTTATATACAGAAGAACAGAGTGAAAGCCATGGGGGAGGTGCGTCACTGCCAGGGCTGTGTCAAAGGATTGCTCATGTTTGCATAACTACCATCTTCACAAGAATCTGTACCTTTAAAGCGAAATTGATTCTTAAACTAACAATGCTTTTGTTCGTAAGATATCAGGATATTAGGACATTTCCTGGGTCTGTTAAGTCTTGGGTTGGTTTGGTTGACATGAATTCAACTATTCCTTTAACCATAAATCTAATGTGGCTAAGAATGCCTAACCTCCTGGAACAACCCAGCAGATCTCAGATTCCATTTATCCAGCCCCTATCCAAGATGGAGTCACTCTGGTTCGAATACCTCCGACAGTTTTAAACCAAAAAAACAGGATACCCAATCTCTGGGCTCCTTTGTCTTAAAAAAAAAAAAAAAGTGCAAAAAACACATCAGGAAACTACAGGCCATGGGGTCCCAGGATTGCCACTTTAGACCTGAACAGGTGCTGAGACAGGACAGGGGTCAGTGCCACTGGAGACGAGAAGTGTGAGTTTGACACGATGAAGCCCCAGGAGAAAGTCATTTCTCCATCCATCCGTTTGCACTTCCATGATTTGGTGCTATTCTTCCAGTCTGAATACCAGGTGTGGTGAGGGTTCAAGGACGTCCAAGGTGAATGTTCTGGCCCCCTTGCCTTCCTTGCTCCCTCCCTTGAAGAAATATTTGAGTGCCTTATCCACCCCTACCACTGTGCCCATGCTAGGTATCCAGTGATAAGGTTAAAACAACAAACTTACAAACCAGTGCAGAGAGCAGTTTGCAGGTTCCTTAATGAACTAAAAGTAGACTGGGCGTGGTGACTCATGCCTGTAATCCCAGCACTCCTGGAGGTTGAGGTGGGTGGATCACCTGAAGTCCGGAGATCGAGATCAGCCTGACCAACATGGAGGAAACCCCGTCTCTACTAAAAATACAAAATTAGCCAGGTGTCATTGTGGGCTCCTGTAATCCCAGCTACTCGAGAGGCTGAGACAGGAGAATCACTTTAACCTGGGAGGCGGAGGTTGCGTTGAGCCCAGATCGTGCCTTTGCACTGCAGCCTGGGCAACAAGAATAGAGAGCGAGATTCCATCTCAAAAAAAAGAAAAGAAAAAAAGCAAAAACCACCAGTAGAGCTACCATATGATCCAGCAATCCCACTGCTGGGCACAGACTCCAAAGAAAGGCAATCAGTGTATTGAAGAGATCTCTTCACTCCCACGTTTATTACAGCATTGTTCACAGTACCCAAGATTTAGGAATCACCTGTCCATCAACAGATGAATGGATAAAAACATGCGGTCCATATACACAAGGGAGTGCTTACTATTTAGCCACTGAAAAGAATGAGATCCTGGCCTGGGCGCGGCAGCTCACACCTGTAATCCCAGCACTTTGGGAGGCCGAGGCGGGCGGATCATGAGGTCAAGAGATCGAGACCATCCTGGCCAACATGGTGAAACCCCATCTCTACTAAAAATACAAAAATTAACTGGGCGTGGTGGCACATGCCTGTAGTCCCAGCTACTCAGGAGGCTGAGGCAGGAGAATTGCTTGAACCAGGTAGGCGGAGATTGCAGTGAGCCGAGATCGTGTCACTGCACTCCAGCCTGGCACCTGGTGATGGAGTGAGACTGTCTCAAAAAAAAAAAAAAAAAAAAAAAAAAAAAAGAATATGATCCTGTCATTTGCAGCCACATGGATGGAAGTGGAGGTCATGCTGTTGTGTGAACTAAGCCAGGCACAGAAAGACAAACTTCACACGTTCTCACTTATTTGTTGGGGCTAAAAATGTAAAACAATTGAATTCACAGAGATAGAGAGCAGAAGGATGATTACAGAGCTGGGAAGGGTTGGGGAGAGAGGAGAATGTGAGTAATTAATGGGTACAAAAACACAGTTAGAAGGAGTAAGATCTAGTATTTCATAGCACAATAGGGTGACTACAGTTAATAATCATTTATTGTACATTTAAAAATAAGAGTATATTGCTTATAACACAATGAAAGACAAATGCCTGAGTGATGGATACCCCACTTACCCTGATGGGATTATCATGCACTGCATGCCTGTATCAAAATATCACGTGTCCCATAAATATATACACCTACTCTGTTCTTCAAAAAGAAAAAAGTTAAAATTAAAAAATAAATAAATGTCAATGAGCTTAACTTTCCATTAAAATAAATAAATATATATATGTGTGTGTGTGTGTATGTATGTATGTGTATATATATATATATATATATATTTTTTTTTTAAACAGTCAAGTCCTTTTTCCCAGGAGGCAGCCCAGCTGGGGTGGAAACCAACAGAAAATCACAGCGCACGTAGATCCACACACTGCTGAGAGCTTCAGGGGAGGAGAACAGAGCGCCTGAGAAAGGCAATTAGGGTTGGGATGATAAATCCAGTTTGAGAAAGGAGAAGGGCGCTCCACACGGGTGGGAGGGAGGGCGTGCGCGACGGAGCCGACCTCTTACAGTCTTGGAGGAATTACGGCCTCATAGACTTAGGGTCCGCTTCAGTCCCTCCTAGAAGTGTAATATGACCGTGGCCCAAGAGCCCACCAGGGGGCGACGCAGGACAACTTATTGCTTAGCGCTAGCAGGGCTACACCCATGATTTGTATAATTCACAAAGGAGTGCCTTAAAACTCTGGGTGGGGTGAAAAACCCGAAAACTGGAGGCCCAGGGCAGTCCAGTGATAATCTTAAATAATAGCTTGAAAGGGACTGAGCTAGAATTCCAGAGACAGAGATTCTAGTTCCAGCTTAGCTCTTGCATTTCTTTTTCCTACGGCACGTTTCTTAGCCCCCCCAGACCTGGGTCCTCAAGGGTCAGAGGAGAGGACTGGGCCAGCGTGTCCCTGAGCTTTTCCTGCTGCGAGCTCGGACCCATGCTGCTAGGAGTGCAGTGGTGTCCGTGGAGCCGTAGAGGGAAGAGGGGCTCCCATGCTGAGTCTCCAGGTGCTGTTTGCTCCAGGGACTTTGAGAGGGTTTCTCAGGAGAGAGGCACATGGCTTTAGAAATGAACAATTTAGTTTTTTTATTTTTATTTTTAAATAGAGACTGGGTCTCACCATGTTGCCTAGGCTGGTCTCAAACTTTTGGCCTATCAAAATGTTAGTATTCTGGGCTTGAGCTACAACTGACCAGAAATCAACAATTCAACCTATGGTTTTAGAAAAGGTCTGCGGTGGCTGACGCCTGTAATCCCAGCACACTGGGAGGCCAAGGCAGGCAGATCACGAGGTCAGGAGATCGAGACCATCCTGGCTAACAGTGAAATGGTATCTCTACTAAAAATACAAAAAAATTAGTTGGGCATGGTGGCACACACCTGTGGACCCAGCTACTCAGGAAACTGAGGCAAAAGAATCACTTGAACCTGGGAGGCAGAGGTTACACTGAACCGAGATCGTGCCACTGCACTCAAGCCTGGGTAACAGAGAGAGGCTCTAGAAAAGAAAAGGTCTGAGGTATCACTGACATCCTTTCCTCCGATGCTCTCCCTGTCGTCCCAGCCTCACCCTATCTGCTACCTCATCC